AAAAAGTAAATTTGGAAAAAAAAAAATAAAAAAGATTTCAATCAAAGTCACCTTGTATGAAAAATGATGATACCCATGCTAAAAATAAGAAAATAATTTAATAATGATAAACATGTGCCAAAATGGCTTATTAACTATCATTATACAATGATTTATTTTATTTATTTTCTAATTTTTTAAGTTTTTTGTATTAACAAACTGCCAAAAAAAAAATAAAACAATAACATACGTGTGAAATATTCGCGACTGAAAACTGGTGATGCAATGATTGACCGGAAACCTGTGATGCGATGATGTAACATGCCATCTATACTAACTTGAATTAGAATCCCGATACCCAGGCTTGAGTCCCCGTGCGTCAGTGTGACTAACATCCATTATTAATATAACGTAAGAATATCAAGAATTATATAAGTAATTATTAAATGAGATCATAACCATATTTTTGTGTTTTTGTATTTTTTTTAGAAATTGAAATACGTTCAAAATCATCCTTTTTTGCACGTTATTAAACGTCTTAATATAACCAATAAATAATTATTTAGCCCACGGTAAACCTATAAGGGTACTATTTCCGGAACGAGGCCACGATCATCGTTAGAGAACCCCATACGCTCATGTAAATAATACCGCCAATCGAGTCATGCTCTTACAGTTCTTGATGGGAAGGTATTATGGATTCGAAAAAAGACTAACCACCTTATTTTAGTTTCAATGTGATCAAAGTAGTTATTTTTTTTTTTATTTTATTAAAAGAAAGAAGTTAAACATTGTTTATGAATAAATCACGATATGGATCAAAGATCGAATCGATATATATTTACTTTAATCGAAATACAACTTTATTCATAAAACAATAGTTGGTGTATCAATTAAAAATTGATATTTTGAACAATGTATAAAGCCTTATCTTTAACACCCCTATTTTTAAAGTAATCAATAAAATCAATAATACTTTTGTAAAAAAAGGGAGCAATATGATTACAATTAATAAATCGACAACCTTTTTAAATTGGTCATTATCCCTAATAATTTACCTCAATTTTCCTATTTTTATTTGTTTTATATGTTGACCAAAATAGGCAAAATTAATTACGACTTTCAAAAGGCATATGAAGAATTTTTTTAATGATGGTTATTATCAATTACAACGCATAATTATTATTTACAGTGAATCATGGAGGTTCATTTTTTATTAATATTGTTAAAAATTATTTTTAAACTTTTCTTTACAAAGTTGCATATCCTTTCCATAAGGAATAACTGACGAATCATCTGATTTTCTGATTTTCTATTATGTGGAGCAAACGTTTCACACGACATTGTCATTTCGAATACAATATGATCGTAACCATATTTTTAATTGTTTTAATATTCTTATGTTTGTTCCCTTTTTTTATATCGGTAGAATGTAAAATATTATTGGCAATTGTTAAAACGTGATTTTTTTTTTAAAAAAAAAAGAGAAACGGTTTGATTGGTAAAAAAAAATTCAGCAGATTCAACATTTTCGCGAATGATGATTGTTTCACAAACCTGTTCCATGACCTCATTGTTTATGTTTGTCATCTTACAGAGTTGAATGATTTAGACCGAATTAATATAATTTTTCTCTAGTAAAATATTTTTTTTTTCAGGTTTAGAAAAAAAAAAAAAAAAGGCAGGTTTGATTGATGTTTTCCGTATACGCCGGATAATGAAATCGTTAATATAATCATATGAAAGGTTAGTAACCTTTAAAAGATTGTCATTTTTTTTTGATTATCCAGATACTTCGGATTCTTTTTATCGATATCCGGATTTACTTGTCAAACTCCGAACAACACTAACGTTAAATCATGACCTTTTTCAATTTTCAAACACGTGTTACCAATAAATGCTTTGAATAAGACCGATAAAGGTTGGCTTGGACAATTTCATTCCAATCCTCATGATATCTCAACAAAAATGGTTTTGCCTCGATGAGACGAATCCAATGAGCTTTTGATCTTTTAAATTGCAATTATTGATGGTTGAAACACCCCCCCCTCTTCGAATGATCCCAAGATGGACAAAATCGTTGACGAATGAGAATGGGGTCATCCCTTGTCCGACATTTTCTTTGGTGGTCCTAACATCCATCCACCTTTGATATCAAAACAAAGAAATAAATCATTAAAGCCTCTGATTCCATGCATGCATGTACATTCTCTTGTCCTCATACTAATTTCATTTATGTTGCCGTGTGAAATCCTTTCTTTATTACGTCATGGACTTGATTTTTTTAATCTATACAAAACGAGTTATCATTGACAAGGATTTTTTCGATTACTAACATTCCTTTTTTAAATTTGATACTCAATTAATTAAATTTGATTACACGGTGCGTTTATTTATATAGTAAATTAAAATCCTTGTAAATTTTGGAAACAATAACAATTCACCTTTCGCTTCATAGCCTTTTTTAGTAAACAAATTTTTGAAAATATTCCCACATTTTTAATTTACCAATTTGCTGCGCTTAATAAGTCTAATAACAAAAAAAAAAGTCATGCTTGATATGAAAAAATTTTTTAAAGCCTTTAGAGAATCAAAGAAACGAATGAATGAACTAGCAAAAAAAAAAATGAACATTCACTTTAAGAGGCAAATATAATAATTCCTCTTGGGGTCTATTATTCTCAGAAGTTAACTCCGAAACCAACGCATGACACCCAAATGCGCATCAATGCATCTTTAAATACAATACATTTGAACGAGTAATGCTAGTTAATCGTTTTTGGAGGGAATGATATCATCATAAATTTCTCTAGGCAACCATTTATTATTATTTTTCTTTCTTTGAATGAAACATCTTGAAACCTTTGAGTAAATGAGATAATTTCAATCAGTATGTCATATGAAAAGTGATTTCCTTTTGCAATCTTTTTTTTTATATTATTATTTTTGAAAGAACATCATTATAGCCTTTTAAAAAAGAAAAAAATGCAATCTCGAAATTGATGCATCTTGTTATTATTTTATTATTATTATTATTTTTTTTTTCGAGACAAACTACTCAAACTAGGACGGCCCGTCTTTATTGTCAAAATATGGCTTATCTCATTTATATTTTTCAATCAATGTAATACTACATGAAGGACCTTGTTTGATGCTCAGATTATCGATTGTGAATGATGATGTTATACATACTAACACGAATTTTCAATGTGAGTTTGTTTAGGATTCTTCAAAATGGATGCATACATACAAGAATTAGAAATTAAACCAACAAGTGTCCAAAATAAACGCTTTGTAATATTTTCCATAATTCGAATGTTATTTTTTTTTTTTTTCCGAGTTTGTTTCTTCTCGCGAGATGTTTTTTTTTTGTGACCGACAATGGAAATTTTTTGTCATGAACAAACCAATCGCAGGTCGATTCATAATCCTTGACAATCTAGATCTCAAAAAAAAAAAAAAAGTTCTGACGACCTAGCTATATTTAAAATGAAATGAACATTAATTTATCTCTTATTCAAACTAACTCTTTTTTTTAATAATGAAAAAAAAAAAGAGATTTATTCAAATAGGGTAATACGAAATGGCTACAAAAAAAAACACCCCCTCAAGTATTTGTGATTTTTCCAAAAATATACGTCAAAAACGCAAGTTGAATAAACATTCTATTGTCCATAGGAAATGACGTAAATTTACCACCCGAATTGATTTTCAAATCAAGTATTGTCCGAGTATTCCCGTCAAATTTCCACCATTGAAATTAGCTTAACTTCAGCCGAAGGGTTGGAGTCTTCCCATTATCCGTCCAGTATAAGCCACTTATTATATTTTATATTTTTGTGTCTTTTTTCTGTTGAACTAATCTAGAAGATTTACAAAGAAGGATAATACATCATTTGTGTCTGCTGCGGAACCATACCCAATCTTAATTTAACAATTGATCTGTTCAACAACAGTCCCATTTCGTTAGAAATCCGGATTTTCCCTCACACACTGTGTTTTTTTTTTTCGTCATTAATAATTCATAATTGGTGTCTTACCTGTTAATGGGGATTTACATGTCACATCCCAAAAAAATTCGCCATGTTTTCATGCAAGAAGGTTTGCATTTTTCTACATTTTTTTTCTACTGTAAATGTTATAAAACTTATTTATTTTTTTTTTTATGCGGGTTATCTATTTGATATTTTCAAACAGATCAACCATGAATATTTTTTTCATTTATATAAAAAAAAAAAAAAAATTTCGTTGTATGTTTTGCATGACGGAAAACAAAGGAATGCACCGAATACCGATTAGCCCGAAATTTCAGTGCTTAAATAGTTTAATGTTGCGCTTAAATTTTTTTTTTACTGTTATCAACTTATCATCTCATGTGCCTTTTTGCCTTTTGTTATTTTTTTTTTTATATGTATGTAAAATTTCATTTATTGATAAACCCTTTTCCCTTATATTATTAATATTAAAACAAAATTATATTTCTTTTTTTTTTTTTCTCCTTGGTGAGCAGAGTAAATCATTAACCCATTTTTGAAACGGTTATTCTCGTTTGGATTCATGTATTTCTTGTTCAAGGGTACGAGATACAAGAAATAGTTTACTCAATGCATTATGTATTACTACCTCACCACATATTTAGTTACATTATGTTACATATAATATAAGATGCGATATGACATAATTCCCCTTTACGATCATTACCACATTCGTACCCTTTTATACAGATTATAAAAAAAAAATTAATATATATCTATTGTAAAAAATATGTTATACATGTAGAGCTTGTTTTGGTCTAACCTGAAATTTCTTGAATTTCCCAATTACAAAAATATTAGTATTTGGGTATGACGGTTTATAATATCTATCTATAAATCATCATTAGTAAAAGTAACCTTATATAAAAAAAATGAATATAAGGGGGTTGGGTTTGTACAAAAGAATTTTTTTTTTTTTTTTCAGAAGCAACCAAAAAAAATTACAAAAAAAAATAACAAGAAAAAAAAAATAATAATATTTCAAACATGTTTGCATATTCACCCGTAGAAACAGAAAATATCTTTTACAACCCAAAATATTCCTTCAACAATAATGGAGTACCTACAAATCAACCTCCCCCCTCTACTACCTGTGGTGGTAATCACCATCATATGTTATCCTTGATACCTGACTCACAAGAGAGAGAGCAACAGAGAAAAAACTTGGAGCAATTTCATGAAGCGACCATCAAACGTATTCAATTAAAACAAGAATTACAACGTCGTCATCAGCTTTGTGCGGAAAACGAACGTTTGCGAAGGGAGAGGACGGAGAGACAAAATGCCCAAAAGAAGGTGGAGAAATGTAACGCTCTAAGGAAATTTTACGAACAGAAAGCGGCTCAACGATGCAACATGTCCTCATCAAACATGAGCGATTATTCCCCAAGTTTCTCATCATCATCATCATCCACCTCCTCTTCATCCTCATCCTCATCCGCTTGTACGTTCTTCACTTCTTCAAGGAATTCTTCAAAGTATTCTTCAAAGTCAAGGACTTCTTCAATCAAGCAATTTCAAGCGGCATTCAAAATCTATTCATTCATCAAGCATAACATAGAAAAAAGAAAAACCCAAAAGATCTTGGCCACCCTCATCAAGCTTCGCTCCGTACAGAATCGCCTGTCGGTGTTAAAATCCATCAACCTAAAATTAGGCACCCTCACATTTGATTTAATTAATAAAAGCAAAGTGTTGCCAACTTCTGCAAATAATAAAGCATTTTTAATTTATAAAGATTCCATATTAAAAGTTCTTGATCAGTTAGACAATGAATTCACTGACGAATTCTACCTAATACGAGAACGTAAGAAAATCATTAAAGATATTGCCAATAATATGTTACAAGAATTAGATCGTGAACGTGATTCACAGTACGAGACTTTTGTTGGCCAAAAAGAATTCGTCGATGACGACTTTGTAATTATAAATAGAAATTAATAATACATATATATTTTTTTTTTTTTTTTACTTTTACATATTTTACTTGTAGTTTATTTCTTTAATTTTTTTTCCGCACGATTTTTTTTTTTTTTTTTTGATTTTTGCGTAAATTATCATATGTATATTTTTCTCTTTACTTTCCCTTTCACCTTTTAATTTTCGCAAAAAAAATTTCAATAGACATTTTCATCATAATTTTTACCGATGAAATGAAAATAAAAAGTATTAAAAATAAAAAATTTTTATCCAAAACAAACCGTAAAGCGTACGCGCATGTGGCGCAGCGTCCATTTTATTTATGTGTGTTCTTGTTTGCTTTTCCGCTCCTAATGCATGTAAAAATTTTTGTAAAATGCAGAACGGAATATCTGATAACTTCACATGAAAAGTTTTCAGATAAACCAAGGTAAAAAACGGATTGGCAAGAGGAAGGGAACCAATGAACGTGACTTTTACATATTTTTTTTAACCTTAAAAAACCAAATAATGATGATAAGAGAAAGATTTCCCAAAGATGGATCATTTTATTTACAATGATAACGCATTAACAAACATGGGGGCAATGTTGGCTTCACAAATGAAAGCGCATGGTCATGGGTCATTTAATCGCATGTGGTGTAATGAATGACTGGTAAGGTACGCGCGGCTAATCTATTTTCTGACCCATTTTATGATCCATGAATAAAAAATCAAAAAACCTTTTCCATTACGTGCATTCCCTGTTGTGTAAAAATCTGGTGTTTCAAACTTTAATCCTTGCATCATTGTTTGACAAAAAAAAAAATTTGAAAGCGAACTTGTTCAAAAAGCGAAAAAGTTTACAAGAAATTGACAGGATGTTTTTACGTCTAGTGGGAAAAAAAAAAAAAAAATAGACGAATTCAAAAAAATATTTCGTATCCCTATCGTCAAAAAAATTTTCCCACCAATTTGACCAAAACGAGTTTAACGAATTTTCATTTTTTCGCTCTTTGGCTTAAATCATGTGACGTTCCAGATGGGTCTGGACTTGTTGTTAGCCCAGTTATTTTAAACTTGGCGTTTTTAATTTTATGACCAAAACGACTTGGTTCTTTGATTTGTTTTGAGATCTTAGCCATCAACCTAATACTATTTTAAAAAATCATTTCATGTATGAATTTATGTCATGATAACGTGACAATTAATAAAATCATCAAATGTTTTGCTTTGCGCCTTATTGCGACATTCGAAATCCATAATAACTTTCACAAGGTACTTAAACTAAACGGTGAAAGACCAAATATTATGACGATCATTCCGATCGGACTTAAGAGTGGAATTTTTTCCTAAAGGAATAAAGATCACATGCGCTTTTTTGCTTTTTCTTTTTTTTTAAGATTCATTATTGAATGGGTGATTTTTTTTCGTGCTTGCCTTCTTTTTAGGGAGCATAGCCTCTTTGATCATAATCGGTGATTAGATTGGGATGCGCGAATGAATCAATCTTTACATGAAAATTACGTACCTGGCAATTTATGGCATATGGGAAACAGAATTCAGAAAGGCGTATCTCTTTTTAACATCTGAAATAATGAGAAAATGTTTAGAAAAGAAAAAGGTAAGAACAAGAAGGGCAAGGGTTGTGTTCATGAATGCATGACGCAATAATAAATAATTCATGTGAGTGAGGTATGACCGTCTCATTTTTTTAATTTCAAAATGAATTAACGAGTAACCTTAATTAGGAATTTAATTTTATTCGGATTTTTTCCCCAAAATTTCGATCAAAATAATGGAATATGGAAATTTTTTACAAAACATGGGGACGGGGGGTGGGGATGGAGTTAGGGTTATCTGCGCGTAAATCTTCTTCATGATTTATGTTATTATCATTTACTTTGTAAACGCATCGGAATATCTTTATGTGAAAATTCGAATTTGTTTAGATGGTTGGGTTCCACCGAAATATGAAAAAGTTCCTTTTTGAAATTTTTTTTTTTTTTGATCACCCCCGTTGCGAATGGCCAATTCTCTTTTTTGGTCCAATCTTCAATGCTTTGTCTTTATTGATTTTCACATTTAAATTATGTTACATGAAAAAAGTTTAACTAAGGATACAAGATGCAAAAAATAATCTCTTACTAATTATTAAAAAAATCATTTAGGGGTTAGCTAATAGGGGTCAAATTATTTGAATGGTATTTTTTTTTTTTTCCAATCATGAAACAAGGAAAATGATTATTATTATGGAAATTATTAATTTTACCAACGTGGAACCTAAAGTATTTGCCGTGGCTATTATGATAAATCATTGATGCATAAACGCACCAACCTCCGCACAAATCAACGAAAAAATTTTTTATTACGTTTTAAAGGTGGATGATCCACTAGGTAATTTATAGGTGGGATTGTCAACGAGAGATCATTATCGGTTCGGGTACGTGTGTAAATGGAGAGGGCTCTCGATTTAACATTTAGAAACATATCTAAAAGGGTAAGTAAAACATTCGGCAAGTCGCGATAACGGATCTTTTTTTCGTTTCAATAAAAAAAAAAAATTTCTTTTTTGAACATTCAATTTTGGCGTGTGCAACTAATTTAGTGTAGGTGATCACAAACTACTAATTTTATCATGGTCGGTAGATTGGATGTCATAATTAAACATTAATTTTTAACATTAACATAATTTAGTACTAGCATTACCTAATCTTAATTTTAAACTATAAATACTAATTAAATCTGACCAATCTACAGATTATCTAATCAATTTATTTAAAGTTAAATTGAAAACTCGAGCAATTACGACATTATTGTATTACTGTTGTGTAATCCCAAATGTATGTTGGGCTAGCGTAACCTCAATTGTAAAAAAGTTTGATTGTCCTCAATGTGAGACAGGATTAACCAAGAATTTCGAACAAAGAAATCTCCCTTATACCAGGAAAAACGTCACTTGATCCCAGATTAGAGCGTTACTCGAAGTAAAAAAAAATCCGACTCGAACCGAATTTTGGTCTTTATCTTTCACCGGTAAAGGAGAATCCCAAGTCGTCTTTGCTTTTTATGTGTTACAATGCTAAAATTTAACCATATTCATTAAAATCAATTGCCAGTCAGACCCTTTCTATAGTTCGCACTTTTTTGGGATAAACCAAAATTTAAAATAATAAGGAGGAGTGATATAAGGCGTAATTTTCTTTTCATTAATACATAATGATTAATAAAAAAAATAAATAAAATAGAAATAGTTTATTTATTAGCGATTTAACTCAATGAATGAAATACCAATTAAGTAAATTTAATATCATTCAACGCTAATTTCAAAACAATCAATCAGGTTATAACTTCCGATGGAAACTTGTAATCGTATCTCCTTTTTGAAAAATATTTAATCGAAAACTTTTCTATTTTGCGACTAAACATACCGTAATAAAGACTCCTTTATAATGAATGATCTTTTTAATTTATCATAAGGGCACTTTTATTGAAGGATCATAGTTATGAAATCCTTAACCAAGAAGAGATATATATATTAATTTTTTACATTCAAATGATGTCAATGTTTTGGTGTTAATAATTGTCATCAAGGATTAAGACTATCAACAATTTTAGGAAAATGGTTTGATTCTAGTAATAATAAAATAATATTTATTAATTTATCGCCAAAAAAAAAATTTTTTTTTTTTTAAAACATTCACGCGAAACTTTATTTAATTATTTATTTTAGATTTCATGTGAGTATGGGTATCTAATGGTAATTTGAATTGAAAAAAAAAATATATATTAATTTTTTATTGCTTGTCACGTGATCAAGCTATTATCACTCGTCATTTTCATTCTCTTGATGATTCCACAGTATTGAAATTAAAAAAAATAAATAAATAAATCTCAAGTAAATTGGATGAAATTAACGAACCTGCAATAACGAATTTCCAGAAAAATTTTTATTTCAGGCATTGCTGCGCCTCTACATTCGGAAAAATCATAATTACTGTAGAATGAAAGTTACCAATGCTCAAGTTTAATCAAAACACTTGTATCGATATGTGTAATCCCTTTATATATAGAGGCGATTTATATTTCATTTTGTTGGGAATGAAAATCCAAATGATTGGTCTGACAACTTTAAACTTTTCTTTTTATTCTTTAAAATTTCAAAATTTACTCGTTACTATATATGGCTACATTCAAATTCTAGTTTTTTTGTTGAATTCATCATGATAAATTTTATATTATCGACAGCAATTTTCAAATAATTAAGATCTGACGTTGTAACATCAAATATGATATGTCAGGCTGGTCTTGGTAAAGCTTATAGAGAAGGAGATCAAGAAGGTTATCATCATATGACATTAACATTCTTTTCATTCCAGATAAATTTTTAACAACCTCGTGTACATGAACAAACAATTCATTAAAAACCAATAGATCTATGTGAGTTATAGCAATATCATTAACTTGGTTGTTTTCAATGAAATAAATTTTCGCGTCTATAAAAGCTGCTTGAGTTTTATCAACTTCTTCAATAAAACTTTCATCTTTATGATTAATTTACTCAACATGTTTTGAAAGTATTTAACATCTCCTCGCTTTTGTATCATCGCATCAACTTCTATATCAAACGTTTCATATACCATCGAACCTTCCCTATACATGTTTCGTAAATTATTTCTGGCCATATCCAGTCTTTCTACAATGTAATGACGTTCCTGTTTCATTTTGTTATCGTGAGTTGATGGATTAATTTGAAGCATAATTCTACGGTATGTTATTACATATTTCAAAAAATATTCTTCGGCTATACAATTAAGTTAAGTTTAATGAGAAAATAATATGAGTGTGCTATATATATATACATTACCCGGAAGATCAACATTGCTGATGCCCGGTTAATGTATCAGCTAATTTTTTGAAAAATTCAGAAACGTAGGCTGGACCTGAAGGTTGCCGAGGAGGTGCCTATTATACGTACGTACGTACGTTAATAAGTGCTTATTGAAACACCAAAGAATGTTTTTAAAATTTATACTTACAAAAAATATTGGCACGATAATCAAAATAAATGCACCCATAAACCAATACTTTGAATTATTTTTAACCTTTAGCTTTTTTCTTTCTCGGATTATTTCTTTATTATCCTAAAGGAAGAATGAATATGCATACGCCACGAAATAAAGCGAAATCCGTTTAAAGTCGAAATTGCGTACGACGGAGCTAATGGATTCACTTCAGTGATTTATTCTAAAAGTAAATAAAATGTGCGAATAAGTATATCACGTAAAAAAAAAATTTACTATCGAATCTGTTAAGTTCTGAAAGATTGTTCATTTCATTATTACATTGTCAGAGTTACAGGTTTTAAAATTTTCGTACTTCTAATTAAAAAAAAAAAAAAAAAAAAAAATTTGCAGTTCGAACAGTTATTTTTCAAATGATTATTATATCAACAACAAACCTTCCTATAAGAATAATAATTAATAACAAATTGAGTCATATTTTATGTAAGACAATAAATTAAACTTTTTCTTTTTAAGAAAAAGGGAAGATTTTTTTGCTATGCTTTTTTTTTCTTTAAAATATATATATATATATACCGTACGTTCGCCAATTCATCAAAGCCAAATCGGTTTCAACTATGCATAAACGTTAAACTTATTTTAAATTAACCTTAATTCGAGTGACAATTTGGCCCTCAGCAAATCAAGTACATATTTTGGTGTTAGAGTTGGTATGTCAATCAGATAATTGGGTTACACAAAATATTTTACACTATCTTAAATATTATTTAAAATTTTTTTTTATTTTAAAACATTAAGAGCTCTCGATTGAATAATTAAGCCATCTATTTGATGATGTTTCGATATATCTTACCTGTCCCTATTTGACATCATCAAATCAATATCCTTGACCATGATTGTTATATAATTTGATATTTTAAATAAATTTTATGAACAATAAATCTAGAAACTGCAAAATAAAACCATTTACCTTATTAATTGCTTAATATTTTATGGTTCCATCCGAAGTGCTCATTTGGAATTTCGAAATGATCGCTTGATGGCACCCAAGTGAACATTTGGGATAAATATACTGTGCATTAACAGTTTTTCAAATGATCTTCACATTTGAGACATGAATTCTGATTTGATGGACAACAACAAACTTTTCTACGTATTCTGCTTTGTCTTTAATTAGATCAATGATTTTGCACAACTCTTCAGTAAAATTTTCCAAATTTCCTTTAATTATTGTAGTTGTTTATACTTTCTTGGATTACAAATAAAATTTATAAATAAATACGATGTTCTAAACCTACTTCAGGTAAGAATTTTGAAAATGTTAAACAAAGTATTACTTGTCACTATGTCACTTTATCTCAAGTGGAAATAATTTGTTTGGCAATTTCTTTAAATTGAATATAATTTCTAAGGTCTTATTCTTCCATATGTCTGATATTTAATTTATTTAATTTGAACCTTATATTTCAGACATCCTTTTGTATCTATTGATGGATTTTAGTTAATGTCCACCCCCTCTCCATATGCGTATACGTAATTTCCATTGTAAATGTATAATCACAAAATCCTTTTTTATTCCGATTTATCTTATCAAAAATTTTAGTGTTCTTAATAAAACGTCAAACAGAATTGATTTACCTTTGTGTTACAAGTGACTTATAACATTGTCATGTGATTGTGTTATAACGTTAAAAATAAAAATAAATAGGTATTAGTTGCTGTACAAATTTTTTTTTTTAATTTATGTTTTCTTTAGTTTTATTCAAAACTATTTATGGTAGTATGTTAGATATTGACCGTGCTTATGCCTTGAAAATCTGTTCTTGTGTTTAGAAAGTGATTGTGATCCTTGAAAACACGAAGAAATTTGATCCCGCTGCACGTGGTCGTAATCCTTAGAAGAAAATTTAGAATAATTTATTCCGTCAAGAGATCTTGATCTTTCAAAAAGGCTATTTTACTTATCGATCCTGTCAAATGGCCGTGATCCTTCCAAGAAGATTATACTATCTTATCGATCCTGAAAAGAGTTCATTACCTTTGATCTCGTAGCATAATTATCCTTACAATAAAGAACCTTTTTTAGCATGTACGTGTTCTTTTTAATATTTGTAATTTAAATTTTTTTTTAAAAAAAAAATTTTTTAATAAAACTCATTTCTTAATAAATGCTTATAGAATTCCGAGTCTTCCCCCAATTTTGAAATGAATATTCTTATGGTCATTTCTTTCAATAAGTTTCTATAAATTAAGGTAGATTTTATTCTTTTATATTAACTAAATTATTTCTTTTTTCGATATTATAACTTATTCATAACTCAAACCATATTATCCTTAACTTATTAAATGGATTTCTTCAGTTTGAAAACAAACTGATCAAATACAATTTAAAGCGTTAGTTAGAACAATTCTCTTCCAGTTTGAGGCAATTGGTTGGATAATTATAGGGTTGTCATCGTCGTGCAGATTGGCATTATCATATAGGAGCAATCACATTACGGATCATACATCTCATGACTTGATTTTACCGGCTACATTCCTTTATACTAATAGCAAACAAGTACCATTGTCTATTTTACAATATTTATTTTGTTATTGATGTTACAGAAACAGAATCACAAAAAACAGTTTTTTTTTTTTTAAAAAAAAAAAAAAAGATTCCTGAATCGCTTCAATCTCCTGCATAAGTGACTTGGAATAACATGAATGAATGTTAGGCGTGTAAAGTTCGAATCGGAAGTTTATCTTGCCTTATTTATATGGCTAATTTTTTTTTTGACAAACTATTATACTATACTGTAAGAGTTTCGAAATTCAAGAATTAGGGTCCTCTTTTGAAAAATTACGTCACCTGTTAATTCTTTCAAATTCTATTATTCTTAAATTCTTCATGTTAAAATACACATTATGATCATAATTAATCTTATTCCATTATAGGTAACGACATATTTCACAGATATGAAATGTATTATATGTTGGATAAAATAACTAAATCGAAAGAGAGAGAGAGAGAGAGAATAGTAAGATTGATAAATTGCTTGGCAAGACAAATTTTATTGAAGTAATTTCATTTTTGTTTGTCATTGTTTTATAATTAATCATTTTATTTAAAAATATAATTAAGCGGCGAGCCCCTATACTTAATCCCTTAATATCACTTTTCAAAAGATAGGCTTTATGACAATTTTGTGACATCTGAAAGAAAATTCCCAAGTTATATTCGAACTACAGCCAAATTTTGAAAGATTCTTAAATAATCTATCACTCCAGGTTATGGTGATCAGTATATTTTGAATGATTAAGCTAGCATAATTTCCAAGTAAGCTGACCCATGAGCATTTAAATATTTCTTGTGTTATTAGAATAACCCTTTTCATCTTTCAACAATTCACAGAATTATTCAGATAATCAGGATTATGGTAAACGATGAAGCCGTGATCTGTGACTGTGCTAAAATTAAGTCATGTGATCTAAATGATCGACATAGTTGATGAAGTTGACGAAGTTGACAGAGTTGCTAAAGTTGTCAACGTTGATCAAGTTGACATATTAGATAGATGAATTATATT